GAGCAAGAGCAGATTGTCTTCTACATCTGGGCCACTTTTGGTGCTGATCCACAGTTTCACCATTATATATTTTTGTTTGGGGTGCCCCATTTTTAGAACTACCTTATGGAATGCTGATTTGCTTTGTTGCAATAATACAGGCTAGTACACCCTTTTCCTACCCACTCTTTCAGTTTTATAACACCTGTATAGCCTGCTTCAGGCAAACAAGCAAACAAAAACAAACAAAGGAATTGAGCTGAAGATTTGATGATTCATCTTCAGAAAAACACAGGCTTTAACTACTACGTTCCTAAGTACAGTATGCATTGTAGAAAGAATCCTCATTTTCTAGTCAGGATGAGTTAGAAGCTTTATGGTTAAGATTTGAACCAGATGCTTGTGATTCATAGTTCACACTATTAACTGCCCCGCTTTTGAAGCGTTGTGTACTTCAATCAATAAAAGTGAAATATTACTCATGTTGGAGAACCATTCAAATCTGCCAAGACAGCTAATGTTCAGGACAATGCAAGTTATACTGTAACAACATCTGGAGGGTCACAGATACCCGAAATGTGATTATAGGATACATACATATATGATACATAAATCCAGCAAAGTATTTGGACCACTTACAGACCCAGAAGGCAACAGCATCAATCTTTTCAAACTTATAATATTAACCAAACATTTGTTATGTGCTCTTAAGTTGTGTCTGATTTACAGCAAACCTAGTAGGGTATTCAAGGTGAGTGAGATATTTAAGGAGTTGTTTTACCAGTTACCATGTCTCTCCCATTAGTTTCTTTGGCTGAACAGAGATTTGAACCCAGGGCTTCTGAGTAGAGATGGGGGTATTTGTATTCATATACAAATATGAATACCCACACAGAGGGGGAGATAATGAGGGTCTGGCCCCATGGGATCAGACGGTCCACTCACTGATGCACTAATTCCGCAGGTCTGCACTCCCATCCTATTGCGCCAGAGATCGAGATCGCGGAACCACTCCTAGCAGGAGGCAGGATGACAAGTGTCTTTGCCATTTTGAAGAGTGGCTCAGCAATTGTGATCTCTATATGAATATGACTACCCCCATCTCTACTTCTGAGTCCCAGTCTGTCATTCTGTCTACTAGATCAGAGGTCGTCAAGACCCGGTCCACGGCCCGTGCTGGTCCATGGCCTGAGCCAGTCAATGCCATGAAGACAGACCTCCCACTCCCCCACATGCACTCCCCTCCACACTGCTGCTTTGCACACGTGTGCACATGCTAGCGCTGGCATGAGAACTCCCCCACCCCTTCACACATGCGCCCAAGTGCCCGAGTGCCTGCGCAAAGGAGTGGGTGCACGAGAGGACGTGCAGGTACCCCCGCGCATGCACAAAGGGGTCGGGGAGCACTCATGCTGGTGCTGGCAGTCAGACGCTCCCCCACTGCTTTGCACATGCACCTGGAGCACTCATGCTGGTGCTGGCAGTCAGATGCTCCCCCACTGCTTTGCACATGCACCCGAGAGAGAGCGCGCACCCGCATGCATCTGTGGGGGTCCCCCCGCCTTCCTTGGAGGCTCAGCCGGTCCCCAGTCCCAAAAGGTTGGGGACCGCTGTACTAGATCACACTGGCTGTAATATTGAACAATCCCACTGCTATAGACCCTGCCCAGTGTCTATTCTGAACAGAAGGACATTGGTTCATTCCATCTAGCGACACTGCAGACCTCAGATTAGATGGCAGATGGGAATTTCTGCTGGCAAAAGAGGGTTCTGTAGAATCCTGTCCCCTATGGTGAGAGCATCCTTGGGCTAGTAATGCACTATCTCTTTCTGAAATCAATTCATTATCAATTGGCTACAAAGCATGAATGTGTGATTGATGGCATAAAACAAATAAACAAACAAAATCCATGTGGTGCCTTAAAAGTATTTAAAAGCCTTTACATGTCTTTAATGTCCTTAAATATTAACCAGAAAATATTATTAATTATGCTGAAGCAAACACACACATGAATGCACATGCCCTCTGGGGTGAAAAGTAAAGTTGTTACATAGACCTTGTTATTGCCACCAAGTAGGACATAATTTGTATTCTGAGAAATGTGGTGACTGAATGACAAAAGTATAGGTGCTACAGAGCACAGACAAGAGTTCTGACTCCTGTCCTCTGAAGTTGCCGGCCACAGGACTGGTGAAATGTTAGGAAGGAAAACCTTCAGAACATGGCCAAACAGCCCAGAAAACCCACAACAACCATCGGATCCTGGTTGTGAAAACCTTCCAGAATACAAATAGGTGCTAATGCTGGTTCTTCTTGATAGTGACAGGCACTTGAGGCAGTATATACAGAACAGAAAATTGTATCCGTAGCTGATGCTGCATCACTGCCTTTTGTACTGTTCAAACCAATGTGCCTGAACTCGGATTAATAAGAGTTCCATGGTAGTGCAGCTATATTACTGTACGGTAGAGCAAAACATCATTGTACAAGGCAATTCTAAGAATGGGGCAGCCCAATTAAACAAACATGGCAGAGATATAACAGGTGGTCTACTCTTACACTGTGCCAAATTTCAGGAATTTTGGGCAAACAGTTTTCAAGTTATGAATTTTAAAATAAAATTGTTTCTCTCCCTGCCTGCCCCCATGCAGAAAAAAGTGACCCTAAACATCTCTAGATTTAAAATAGCTCATACAAATTGAAAATGCCAATTTTCCTTCTTTTTAAGGAGAATGATTGGTCCCACCAACTTTTTTTAATTTGGGAAGAACCCAGGCTTCACGGATTGAAATATTGACATATATTTTTTAAAAAAGGCCTTTCAACACAACCACTTTGCTATAAGACTGAGCATCTATGAAACCGGCTTACCAGCAGGAGTGTTCCAAAGTACAGTGGTGCCTTGACTTACGAAATTAATCCGTATTGGAACGGTGGCCGTAACTCGAAATTTTCATAAGTCAAAGCACCATTTTGCATAGGAATGCACTGAAAACCGATTAATCTGTTCTGGCCAAAGGAAAAAAAATACCAAAGAAAGAAAGAAAGAAAATAAACAAAACAAGTGGTACTGGTACTGCAAAACAAACAAACAAAACAAAACAAACAAACAAACAAATCCAAAAATAAACATTAGAGCAAGTCCCACACTGGGACTGCAATAATAAACAAACAAACAAACAAACAAACAAACAAACCAACACAGACACATACCCCCCAAGCCCAAATCTACCCTCCAAAACCCACCCAGAATAACTTTTTAAAAAGGAAAAAGGAGCACCTTACCTGTTCGAAGCCTCCTCAGCCTCCCTGCTGGCCTGACCGCTGCTGCCAGAGGCCTCCCAGGCTTCCCTGCCGCCCTGACTGATGCTGCCAGAGGCCTCCGGGGTTCCCCGCTGCCCTGGGAGGCCTCCCAGGCTTCCCTCCCACCGCTGGGCCTCCCGGGGTTCCCCACCACCCTGACCTACGCCACTGGAGGCCTCCCGGGCTTCCTGGCTGCTGCCGGAGGTCATGGTGGCGGGGAACCTCAGGAGGCCTCCGCTGGGGGCTGCAACAGGGAAGCCCAGGAGGCCTCCATCGGCGGTGGCCAGGGTGGCAGGGAACCCCGGGAGGCCTCCAATGGCAGCGGAGAAGCCCGGGAAGCTAAACCTCCCTTTTCCTAAATGTTAGGGTGAAGAAGCAGCCTCTTCGCCACCAACGGTTTGAATTTCTCGCCCTTTCTCCCTGCCCTTTTTTGTCTCTAACTCAAAGCTCTGGCCGCAAGTTGAAGCAAAATTTTGTGGCCTGAGCTTTTCGTAAGCCAAAATTTTCATAAGTAGGGACATCCGTAAGTCGAGGCCCCACTGTATATACAATGTTGAAAGTTTCATGGGGAAAGGGAAAAGAGAGATGTTTGGAGTGCAATGATAGGTCACAAGAACAGTTGAGAGACAGGTTTTCTTTGAAGAAAGTAATGGAGTAACAATCCTCCAGAAACAGTCATTTTGCTATGGATCTCCAGAGAAGTAATATACAATTTTGTAAGACATATTCAGTGGTTTTTTGGTTGTTTTTGCATTACAGAAGCACAGCCCTAAGCCTTGCTGTAAACATTCTCTCACAATTTGACACAAGTCTCCAAAGGGGAAATCAGCTGCAGATCTGAGGCAATCTGAACTTTTGATCCTAACAGTCAGGACTCAATTAGCTGACTCTCAGGAGGAGAACTTTTTAACTCTTTTCTAGCCAAAACAGGCATTTGTGCTGGCAGAGGGATTCTGTGCCTTGTGGTATACATATTTAATATTAAAAATACTTTAAAAAGAATATACAACCAATATTCAGAAGATCACTTGTTTAAGCTGTGACATTATGGTTTTTTAATCTGTGTGGCTGGGAGTGGCTTTACTTGATGTTAGCAGAGCTTTGGTAGTTATACCCTGCCTTAATTTCATCCATCCCATCCATCTTGTCACTATACAATTGTCTGGTAAATAAGAAAAAAAAACTCCAAATATGTTATGTGCCAGCAAGTCATTTCTGAGGTGTGGTGATTATATGAATTAATGATCTTCAAAATGTCCTAGTAGTAAGAGCTCTGCTCAGATCTTGCAAACCAACAATATCTCATTTTAGGTTCTTTTCTCTTCTCACCTGCCCCCTTGGGTATAAGTCAGCCCATGTCATATGAGTTCATGGCAAGATTAGTGTACCTGAGAGGTTCAAGGGTGTATATGTTTCTTGATTGTATGTGTTGCTCACATCTTTATCATGGGTGCAATATTGTGCAGCAATATTGGGCCATTTCCTGGCATTTTGAATCGTGGATACAGAAGCACAATATCCCAATATTATAACTGGAAGGGGCTCTGTTTTTTTGGAAGAATTGAATACACATTAGTGTACTGATTCAAAATATCAGGCTGCGAAGGAGCATTTGATTCACCAATTGGTTTATATCAGTGGCATTTATAGTTCTAAGGCTCTCCTGAACTGCAAACATGCAAAAATATATAGAGTGATTATGGTTCGTAATACCCACCTGAAGTGCTTCCAAGAGGATTTCCCCAAGAAAATTCATCTTCAAAGCTCTGGATCTGAAAAACAGGGACAGAAAACGCTCCTTAAAAATCTTGGGTTTTTTTTCCTTAATTATTATTAAACATATATTTCTTCTTTTTAACATTTAGATTTCAGAGCAAAACCTTCCAGATGTTTCTCTATTGTAGGTACCTCCTTTTAACAATAGCTTTGAGTTGCCAGTTGCAAGTCAGAATCTATAACATGTATTCCATTCTATATGCTATTACTGCTGAGTCAAAGCACAATCTTGCCATCTGGAAACCACTCCCTCAAACAGCGAACTCAAGTAGAGAGTACTGGCAGATACAGAGACAAAATAGGGCTACAAAATCGGGCTCATGAGAAATAAGGGAAATCCAAGGTATGGGCACGTTTGGGGATTTTGAGGACTGCAGCAGATCACAGTGAGGACTGAGTGTACTGTACTGAGTTGTCATTAAATCTGAAGTGACAGTTGGAAAAGAAAAAGAAAAATGTGTGGGATGGGTGAGAAATTGCTGAGTTGCAGTACTTGGAGACAAATGTCAGACTGGCAGTAGAAGGAGTCTATAACATATATCCATCCCATATGCCCTCCTGTTTAGAGGAAAGCAGTGCAACAATTAGTCAGAAGTGTCACTTGTATTTACCTAATGGCAATTAAAATGATACTTATACAATAACCAAGCTAACGATGATTTATGATTCAGAAGTCGATGCATCCTACTAGCCCATGTGTTTTGGATGAGGTGCTGAGCACCTCCAGTACAGAGCTATGTGATAGTGTGGACATCCTAAAATAAGGATCTGTTTCTCCTCTCATCTTTTTGGAGAGAGGTGAGTAATAAATAAATGACCATAACTGATATTTTCAAAGTCCCACTAATGAAAACAGTACAGTATGTGGAGGACTTTCTTGGCTGTAGCGCTTTGGCGGTGATATTCTCCCCTTTGAAGCTGGCATGGCCATCATTTCAGGGCCAAGTTGTTCCCAGAGCTTTTGGGATTTAAAAATTGTAGCTCATGTAAGATGTGGAGTTCTTTGTAATGTGTATGGTTTTAAATGTTTTTAAATTGCCTAAATGGTCAGATGTACTTTACACTGTTTAAATTTTTAAATATAAACTACCCTGAATAGCATCCTGGACCACAAGAGCTCACTTTTTGGGATGTGAAGAGACTGAGATAATATGCTACGATGCTGTATTTCATGGTCTCCTCCATTCCCTGCAGTAGTCAAGAAACAACATCGAGATGAAGCAATGCATAAAAATTAGTCTATGGCAGGGGTCTGTGTGCTTCCCAGGACTGGGCCGCAGAGACGAATATCTGCCCCCCCCGCATGCATGCATGCATGCATGGTGGGCGTGTTGCGCTCATGGGTGGGCATGTCACATTCACGGGGACGTGACACACCCACCCACAGGAACAACACACCCATCCACAATCATGACACACCCATGTACGAGCGCATGTCCCCTGCGCACGGAGCCCGCCCCCCCAACCAATCCATGGTTCCAAAAAGTTTGGGGATCACTGCTCTATGGCATGGATGGGAAATGTGTGGCCCTCCAAATTTCTGAGACTACAGCTCCCATCATCCCTTAGTATTAGCTATGATGACTAGGGAGGATGGGAAGTGAGATTTAATGCCATCTAGGTAGCCACATAGTCTCTAACCTGCCATACATTATGTATCCCTATTTCCGATCCATGCTATACACAGCAGACCAGTCTGTCTCACCTCTTCCATTTCAAAGGAATCTGAAAGCTTCTTGCTTAAGCTCGAAACCCTCCGGAGTGTTTGAGTCAAAAGCAGATTGAGCTCTTTGCGTGGTCTGTCTTTCATGGGTGTCTCTGAAGTGGAAGGAAACTGGGGCTGTTCTGTAGGTAGATGAGGCAAGGGCACTCTTTTGCTGGATGTAATGGGCTGAGAAACAGTCATTGCCTCTGCCAGCTCCTCGTTTGGGAGCAGTTCTTCTGTTAGAGAGACCAAGGTAGTGTTATCCGACATGCCAGCTCTGGTTGAAGTGCACAAGTCCACACCACCACCACCAGCAGCGCAGTCTTCTTTGGCTTTACATGGGCCAGGATTTCGGTAACCTTGGTGGGCATGTATAGTTGTGTGCCTGGATGCTTTTCTCAGTAGCTGACCTATCTTCTTTCTCTTTGCTTGGGTGACCACAGCTTTCCCCTTCAGCAGATCTACTGTGCTTTTCTCCTCCCTCTTTTCTTCTTCCATCTTGTGCTGCATGGCACTGACATCATTCAGCAAAGAGGAAAAAGCAATGGTCACATGATCCAGGACTTGCAATTGTCGAAAACGCCCTGAGGTGTGGGACAGAAGAAAACAGGGTCTGTGTTTCTGTTTGCTTTATTGTGAATCAAATGCACAAGGAGCACTAAGGAGAGCCTGAAGATGGACAATATCAGTTCTCTAAAATCCTAGTCATATTGCAAGATATATGATTTCCCATATTGCCATGAAGTGTAATGGGCCAGTGTAGTGTAGCAGTCAAGATGTTGGGCTGGAACCCAATTTAATCCATATAGAGCCATGAAACTCACTAGGTAACCCTGATTCTCTCTCTCTCTCTCTCTCTCTTTTTCAGACTGACCTGCCTTACAAAGCTGCTGAGGTGAGGATGAGAGCCATATATGCCACATCAAAACCACTGGATCTATACCTTGAACAAATAAATCACTCATATATGCTTGTATTATGTGAAACCATAGAACAAATCTATTAGAAGTCTTGATGAAGAAAAGGATGAGATTTTTGTAAGTGCCAGTGGAATGATCCCAGTATTCCAGCTTTCCATTGTTGGAACTGGCTTTGCTGTCATAAGGATACAGCAGATGGAAACATATGAACAACAACAACAAAAAAATCCTTAACTGAATTCCTTAAAAGATGAGTGATGAAGTGAAAATAAACCTGGTGTTTTCTTTAGGAATAAATCCTGAAGCACACACTACAAGCTCTTGCTAACAACCGACTCATCACAATTAAGGCAATCAGCTAAGGTTTCTCACAGTTATGTCACAGTTTTGGACTAGGTCTGTCATTGTCCTCTTAATGTATGGGGTTAGGAACCTTTGGATCTCCAGACGTTTTGGCTGACAACTCTCACAATCTCCATTATATCATTAATGTCTAAATAATGCTTTAACCAAAAACTGGATTCCAGGGTGATATGCATAAATTTTAAAAAATTAAGCATGCTGGAAGTTTGTTTCTTGAGCAATTGGAAGATTTTTAAACATTCACAATAATTCAGCCAATCATGGTCAAAAACTTCATAAATTTAACCAAATATAGATATAGTGTGGCTGGGATTCTCATTTAAGTGGCAAAGCAAGCTATTACTTTTCTGTTTACATATCACAATTCAGTTAAATGGGTTCGTGTAGATAGCAACTTTGAATCCAAGATCATCATAACATAACACTTAAAGAAACTTATATCTGATTTTATCCAAGAATATTTTGCAGTGTTTGTGAATTTCGCCCTGGATACCTGGTGTGGTGTAATGGATAGAGTGATGGTCTAAGATTCAGGAGGCCTGGGTTTAAATTCCCGCTCAGCTATGTAAACTCACTAGGGAAGTGGAACTGATAAAACCACTCCTTAAATATCTCATTTACCTTGACAGCCCTATTAACCTCACTATAAGAAGATTCTGATGTGATGGCACATAACAATAATGTGTTGTTACATGTGTTGGGATTTCAATCTTCCTGAATGTCAAAAGGTGTTTCTGCTTCTTTGAGAGAGTCATCAGCAGGAACAGAGTGGAAATTGCTGAGATCTTTAAATGCTGCTTTTCCATAGAAGCTGCCAAACACATTCCTTAGGAAGAATGTTAGCACTTCTTCAGAAAGAATAATATAAGGTACTTATATCCCAAGTTAGCTTATTACATTCTTTTCATCAAAATTTCTGCTGGGATGCCAGTGTTCCAAAATACCTAATCTTGTTTATGGAGCAGCACCAGTGCTTTAGTAATCTAATGCTATTCCTTAGGGGGCAAATCTGAACTTGATTCAAACAGCTGTGCATGAGTATTTTTCTGATGTTTCAGTTTGTACATGTTACCACTGCAAATGAGTACATGCATTGGTGAAGACAGTAGGAAATAAGGAACTCACATTACATTTTGTATAGTGACTAAATCAGTGGACATGTGGACATTGATTTAGTCACAGTACACAAATGATAGTGATACAGTAGTGCAAGGACATCCAGATTTCCTTTTTGACTTGCACGTTAGTCAAGTAGCAGGTACTGACACTTAAAAAGATAGAGGCGGTAAGGCAGGAGCTTGTGAATCTCCTTGAAACTCGCCATCCCAATATTACAATTCAGGCTGAAGTACATCCAGAACCAACACCCTCCGCTGACGCTCCAATCCTTTTATGAGAGAACTGCCCTGACCACAGAATGGCTCCAACTCCCAGTGCTCACTTTCAGTTCTATCAAGGAACATCCCTGGGTGGCAAAATAAATTGGCAGACCAGGAGTACAAAAAATTTATTTCAATGTTTCATATTCTTTGTTCACAGGAAACCTGGCTAATTGATTCCACTCCCTTGGTGTTACATAGGTATACCCCATTTTTGCTTCCTGCTCTTAAACCATCTAGGAAAAGGAGAGCAAGAGGAGGTTTAGCTATTTTAGTCTCTGTCAAATTGGACATGGAGCTGGAAATCATTTACCGGTCTAAAAGTAATTTTATTCTGTCAGTATTGGTAATGGGAACACAGAGAAATGGGTTGAAGGCACTAATATGCATCAATGCCTACTGTCCGCCTGATCAAACAGAAAATCTCACTTCTTTCTGGAATGAATTGGAAGAAGCCATAAACCATTGTGAGTTCCTGTACCTGAGAGCAGCTATAGTTTTGTGTGGTGACTTTAATGCCAGAGTTGGCTCTGGCTTAACTGAGACGGTAATTGATTCAGACCTAGAGTATAATGAACCCTTCCTATCTGACCGTTTTTTCTTTGGAAAAAGTCCTCAGTAAACAAGGTAGGAAGCTAGCCAAGGCAATGTCTGGCCTACAACTAATTTGCCTTCTTGGCAGATCTCGGGATGACTCAAAAGGATATTTCCCCTTCCTTCATAGGTGGGCAGGGAGTGTCATCAATTATATATTTTGTTCCCCTGTGTCCCAGGAGACAAAATATAATATATTAGATCGACCCGATAGTGACCACCTACCCATCTGTCTCTCCATTCCCCTGAGAGCTCCACAGTTGCCCCCCACCCCCGGCTGATTGGGCAGAGAGAACTATGGTTGTAGGGAAATGCTTAAAATGGTTCCCCCTTGTTGACCAAACAATTCAGGAACACCTAAACAACCCACATCTGCTGAGTGCACATAGGGATATTGTAATTGGACATAGGGATCCAATAAAGGGCATCAACTACATCAATTCTATCTTAAGACTTCTATTAACCAAAGAGCCACAGGAGCCTTCCCTGGCCCTCAATGGAGGGGGATGGTATGACTGAGAATGTAGATTAGCCAAAAAGCATCTAGCTCATCTAACAAGGAAGATGAGGAAGATGCATTCAAATTTGAATCTGGAGGCTCTGGTTCACTACCGCTCAAAATATAAGGAACTTTTAAAACAAAAGAAACATGCATTTATGTCAGCTCAGTGGGAGGAACTAGGGCAAGCTGTGCTGGAAAGGAAAGAGTGAAAATTCTGGAGTATGGTCTCAGCTGTGGATATAGGTCCCAATCCTGCACCAAATGCCTGCATCTTTGCAAATGCCTGATTTGACCACTTTTGAACTACTGTGTTCCCCCCCAAAATAAGACAGGGTCTTATATTAATTTTTGATCCAAAAAAAAAAGCAGTAGGGCTTATTTTCAGGGGATGTTTTATTTTTTTCATGTACAACAATCTACGTTTATTCAAATACAGTCATGTCATCTTCTGGTTGCTGCGCAGTGGTGGAGGGTGGGGTTTCACTTAACTAGGGCTTATTTTTGGTGTAGGGCTTTTATTACAAGCATCCTGAAAAATCATACTAGGGCTTATTTTCAGGTTAGGTCTTATTTTCAAGGAAACAGGGTATTTTTAACAGTGATGCAGATATTGGGCCACAAAAAGTGAGAACCGCCCCCCCTGACCCTACTAAATTCCATACCCAAATGGCCTCCAGTATCAGAACAGGAAGTGTGTAAACTTACTGATGCCCTAGCAACAGACCAAGCGCCTGGCGAGGACATGATCTCGCCAGAGGTGTATAAGAACATTGGAATGGACATGATCCCGCCAGAGGTGTATAAGAACATTGGAATGATGGGCCCCAGTCCTAGCACAACTGTTCTCTCACATTAAGGCTACAGGAATTTTCCCCGAGGGGAAGAAGGTAGACCATTATGTTTCCAATTTATAAAATAGGTGATAAATCCATCCCTCAAAACTATCATCCAATCAGCTTACTAGATATTAATTCCAAGCTCTATACCCACCTTCTTTTTTAGAAGCTGGCTAAATGGATGGAGGAAAATAACATGCTTCACCAGGAACAAGCAAGTTTTAGGAAGGGCCATAACACAGTAGATCAAATCTACGTGCTACTTCATCTTATATGCAAATATACCACCAGGCTATTCAAATTGCTGTTCACAGCTTTTATTGACTTTTCCTCTGCATTTGACACAATCACCAGAAATCGCCTGTGGGATAAGTTCGCAGAGACTAACACTGATAAGAGACTTCTAACCCTAATACAAGAACTAAACTCCAACACAATGTTTAGGGTAAGGATTAGCACAGACGGAAGGCTGACAGAGGAAATTCATACTAACAAAGGGATAAAACAAGGGTGCTTACTTGCATGCCTACTCTTTAACTTTGTATTAATAATACTGTAACGGCTTGAAACCATCCAGATCATTCCCCCCCTAATTGGGAACTATAAGATTGCAAGCCTTATATATGCTGATGACATTGTACAACATCGTATTACTATCTATGAACAGACCGAAAGGAAGCTTAAATAAGCTCCAAAAGTTCAGCCACCTACAGCAACTAAAAATAAAATACACAAAATCCAAAGTGATGATTTTTGGAAAGCATTCCCCCAAATTCAGGTGGACTATAGACGAAAATAAAATAGAACAAGTCCAGACCTTTAAGTACCTAGGAGTGCATTTTGATGAGAAAAACTGCTGGAAATCCCAGATACAGAGCACCAAAATATTGGTTCAGAAGTCTATGCTCTTGACAAATTTCTTTCCATTCTAAAGGTGGTAAACTCGTAACTCCAGCTTTAAAAGTCTTTTCAGGGGGGAGTCATCTCTCAAATGCTTTATGGAATTAAGATCTGGGGTACGAATCAGAACAACCTACACCATCTTGAAGTAGGACAGAACAAATTTCTGAGACACATCCTTGTGGCATCCCAGGGGACTCCAGCAGCTTTTCTTAGAACAGGGACAGGCATGGTGTCCATTAAAGCCAGGGCAACTCTAGCTATGTTCTCCTACTATAAGAGGGTGATGGATATGTCTGACCACCGTCTACCTAAGCGCTGTATGGTAGAGCAATGGAAGAGTGACAGCTGGGCAACTTCAGTTCAAACCTTACTAAAATCTACCGTATGTTTCGCTCCATAAGACGCACCTCTCCACAAGACGCACCAAATTTTTAGAAGAAAACAGGAAACAAATTTGTTTTCTTCTCCTAAAAATTGGTGAGCCTTATGGAGAGGTCCATCTTATGGAACACACCCTAGGACCCTTTGGAGGCTCAACCTGCCCCCCCGGGGGTCAGAGGGGGCAAAATCGCCACCTTCTGG